CTCTCTAGACCTTCTCCAGCCCAACCTAGCCTCCCTTAGACCTTCTCTGGACCTTCTCCGGACCTTCTCCAGCCCAAGCCACCCACCTGGAGACCTTCCCCCACCCCACCCCCCACCGCCCTTACCTTGACCTCCTCCTCCAGCTGCCTCTTGAGGTCCTCCAGCTGTTGGGTGTAGGTGAGCTTCCCTCGGGTCAACTGGTTGATGAAGGCCTCCTTCTCCTCCAGCTGCCTGGAGAGCTCTCCTGGGGGGTGAGGAGAAGGTGGGAGAGGTCCCAAAGCCACCCCACCGGGTGGGGGACAACCTGGGGGGGGGTCGGGTCCTCACCGTTCTCCGTCTGGAGCTTGGCCCGTTGGGTGGTGAGGTCGTTGACGGCGCGTTGGGCCTCCTCGGCCTTGGTGCGGTGCTCGTTCATCTGGTCCTCCATGGTGCGACACATCTTCTCCAGGTTGGCCTGGAGACCCCCAGGGTGGGGGGGAGATGGAGGTGGGGGTGGTGGTGGTGGTGGTGGGGGAGGACAGAAGGATGGAAGAGGGTCACCAACCCAACCTGACCTCCCTTAGACCTTCTCCAACCCAACCCGACCTTCTCCAGACCTTCTCCAACTCAACCCGACCTTCTCCAGACCTTCTCCAGGTCCACCTGACCTCCTCCAGACCAACCCAACCTTCTCCAGACCTTCTCAAGACCAACCTGACCTCCCTTAGACCTTCTCCAACCCAACCCAACCTTCTCCAGACCAACCCAACCTCCCTTAGACCTTCTCCAACCCAACCTGATGTTCTCCAGACCAACCCAACCTTCTCCAGACGTTCTCCAACCCAACCCAACCTCCTCCAGACCTTCTCCAACCCAACCCAACCTCCCTTAGACCTTCTCCACCTCCCTTAGACCTCCCTTAGACCTTCTCCAACCCAACCCGATGTCCTCCAGACCAACCCAACCTCCCTTAGACCTTCTCTAGACCAACCCAACCCTCCCTTAGACCTTCTCCAGACCAACCAGACCTTCTCCAGACCATCCCAATCTCCCTTAGACCTCCCTTAGACCTTCTCCAGACCAACCAGACCTTCCCTAGGTCAACCCATCCCTCTTTAGACCTTCTCCGGACCAACCCGACCTCCCTTAGACCTTCTCTGGACCAACCAGACCTTCTCCGGATCCACCAGAGCTTCTGTAGCCCCTGACCCAACCTTCTCCAGACCAACCACACCTTCTCTAGGTCAACCCAACCCTCTTTAGACCTTCTCCAGGTCAACCTGACCTCCCTTAGACCTTCTCTGGACCACCCAGACCTTC